AAAACTTTTCCCACAATAGATGTAAGACTGATAGGCCTATAATTACTGGAACAATTTTTATTACATACCTTGAAAAGAGGAGTGACATTAGTTAACTTCTAAAACTTTGGGACCTGCCCACTATTCAAGGATAGTACAAAAAATAGTAGCAAGTGGCTCCCATATCCAGTACCATAGCCTCCTTCAAAATCTTTTGGGAAATATTATCTGACCCAGGAGACTTATTTTTTAAACTTCCCATTTTTTTCTTAACAAGCTTAGAATTAATACAATCATATTGCCCATCCTTGTTTCCATCTATCAGCTGTTCACGATGAGGAACACTTCTTAAATCTTCATTATTATTAACTGAAAAAAAAATATAATTTAATAACCCAGTCATCTCATAATCATCAGATACAAGCCTTCCTTTATCCTTCAAGGGTCCTATCCCATTGCTACATTTTGCGTACCCTTAATGTACTTAAAGAAATCCTTACTGTTAATATTTACATTTTTAGCTAACCATTTTTCATACATCCTTTTTGATGTCCTAATTTCCTGTTTGAACAAATTTGTTGATCTTCTATAATCTTCTAAGTCTCCTGTCATACCAGTCAATTTAAATTTTTTAATTAAATTTGTGATACTTTTTATACCCTTTGTAAACCAACCTAGTTTTTTACTTCCAGCCACTCTTTTTCTTTCTACAAAAAACATGTTTACCTTGAATATTTAAAAAACTTTCCACCTTTGATCAGTGTCTCCAAATATTCAGCTGCCCAATTTATAACAGATAATTCTTGTTGCATCCTTTCAAAATTTGCTTTTTTTTTTAATTTGTTACCAAAATATCTATTCCTGATCTCCTTATGTAACAAAACATTGAACATAATAAGAGCAGTGATCAGTTGCACTCAGACATTCCAAACTTTCCACCCTCTCAACCATTTCTGTATTAGAAGTTAACAATAAATCTCAAATAGCATTCTTTTTAGTAGGATTCTTGACCAACTGGTGAAGAAAACAATTTTCAAAAACATTTCCCAATCTGTATTCATGAAATTTACATCACTCATAATTATGACCTCATTAACAGCTGAAATCTTAATCTCACTAATTTCATCAGTATCATCTGGTGGTCTGTAACAAATTCCCATTAAAAGTCTTTTCCCTTTATATTCACTAATAGAAACCCAAATGGATTTAATCTCCTTGCTATTATCTTTTATACCCTCAACTTCAACAAGATGTAACTCACATTTTACATATAAAGCCACTCCATTCCCTTCCTTTAGTACTGTATTCCTATTAAATAACCTATAACCCTGTATTGCAAAGAAATTTCTGGCATCAAAATCATCTACATTTAACCATGTTTCAGTTATTCTCATTATATCAAAATCCTTCATTCCTACCAGTGCCCCAAAATCATCTATTTGATTTCTTATACTTCTAGCATTACATTAGTAACAATTAAGCCTAACCTTATAACTACTTCTGTACTTATTTCCTATCCTAAAATTTTCTCTACATCTTATTTTTTGCATCTAGTTTATCATGGCCCTCAACACTGTCTAATCCTAATTTAAATCTTCACATACAGCTGAGTTAATAGCCCTTTCAAACAAACCAGGCCCTACCCTATTTAACTGTAAACCACCCATTTCAAAAAACTTCCTTCTTTCATTGAACTGATCCCACAAGTCCAACCAGCCTATCTGCTCATCCTTACATATTAACTTAAGCTTAGCATTCATGATCTTAGAAAAACATGTAGGTTCAAGAAGTCTTGATAGAAATGAATGAAAAACCCTATAACCCGAGCACTTTTGAAGGGTGAACCTTTCTTCTTCAGGGGCAAACTGAAGAAGAAAGGTCCAACTTAAGCTTAGCATTTAGCCTTAGCGGCCTACTCATAATTTCATCCCCATAATTAATTATCAGCAGCATTCCTGACACAATTAAGTTATGGCCCTTTTTTTTAAATACCTTTATCAACCCCTTGTACTTGTTAATTAGCTCCTTTGACCTACATTTTCCTACATCATTAGCCCCTATGTGCATAACAAAAATTGCATCACTGCTAGCCCCCTTTATTATATCCCTTTCTCTGTCAGTTATAACCTCCACCTGTGCCCCTGGGTAGCATAATTTAATTATTTTCTTCCTATGTATCCCACAGACTATCCTATCCACATGCCTTGTCAAGGAATCACATACAACTATAACCTCCTTAAGTTTATCATCCACATCCTTCTCTGACCCCTTTGTTTTCCTTCCCTCTAATAGTTTCTCATCTGCACAAGCCAAGGGCTAAAATTTGTTGCTCAATAGAATAGGGTAATTACAATTAAATACAATACTTTTAGCTCTAATAGTACTCTTTCTAACTTCCTGAAAGTCATTGTTAGCTGATGTATCCTTTGCATGTAGAGCTTAAGTTCATCTTGAAATCCTGCTGCCATTTTCCAGCCTCTACTTTAAAAGTTTCATTAGGAAAGCCTCCAACTCCTCCTCCAACCTACAAACTATACATACAAATTACACATTTTCATGACTAGTACTAGCTTAATAGTACATACCAGTCAAGAGTTCCCAATTTATACCCACTCACTGAACCCAACACACCTAACAAACTTTGATTGCTTAACTCCAACACTAGTCTTAACCATTATATTTGTAGCCTGGAAATAAATACTCAATACTAAATGTAAGTACCAGTAGCCTGTTGCCAACACTGTTAAGCCTATCATTTAAGAATCAATTATATTACAGTATTTTATCAGTACTTTATGTTCACACACAAGTAATTAAGTTTATCTTTAATTTTATAGAATGAAAAATTACTAGTCTTTACTTTATTTGATATTTATGTAATACCAATATCAATAGTAATAATACAGTGCATTTCACCTGATTTATAACCTACCTATAAACTGAATATAAACTAATGGATATTGACTAAAGTCAAGTAAACAAGATAATCCTTAAAACATGAAGAAACAATTAACTAGTCTTTAGATTGAATTTGTTTAATAAAACAATTTATTTAACTTGTTTTACAATTTACCAGTAAGATGAATTACAGCTAAGCCTAAAAATATCATTACACATCCCAAGCCTAATCTATCATTCTAGTTCAGGTTACACCCCTAAGCTCTAATTTAAAACTTTAACCCTACTATTTTTATTTACCAATCTTAATAAATAAATCTTATTATTCTTTTGTTATTTAACCCAGATTAATATTAAATAGTATTCAAAAATCCATAACAGTAAAGTAGCTTACCTTTCCATCATCTCTCTGGCTTACATTTGTACTGAATCTTGTGTTACTAAATAAATAAAAAAACGACAGAAGTTAAAACTCACTGAGCTGTGACTGTTAAAATTGATATTAGAACTTTATAATTTAATATCACTTACCAATGAATGAAACGTGTGTTGGCAAACGTTATCTTTTGATAATTTTATCATTTTGTGTTTCAGAATTCCGATTAAAAACTATTTTTATAATGCACATTGCTGGTTTGAATAATTTACAAATTTTCCTATGCTTTAAAGTTGAAAGTTTAATAATGAAGTCTGTTCAACTCTCTCATGAAGTGTGTAAGTCTATTGTGGCTATATTACTACAGGAATGCACTATCTTTGAGCTTAAGCTAATGATATTGTTTTTTGTGATTTGTTATAAATATCCATTATCCATCCACAAGTAGAAAGAGATTACTTAAGTGAGTGAATGCTTTCAATAAATAGTTGGAAACACAATTTTAAATTGAAGAACTTAGTTTGAGGTACATATAATACTGTACATCCACATAAAAAATTATCTTGAAGATCCTGCTCTTCATACATGAGGAGAGCATAATTCTACTTGATTATATTGAATAAAATTTATACTGTGGAAATAGTTGATGTTAGTTAACTCACTGTATCTTGTGTTAGTTCTTTAGAATACATTACTCAGTGCATTTATGGCTTTATTATAGAACTACTCACTATGGTATCGTAAACTAATAATTTTAGTTGCCAGAGCACTTGATTACCATAGTCTTCTTTATTCATGATCACTGTGAACCTGTATTAACAGGATTTGGATTATGTTTGTGTTCTGCAAGTTCGTTCATACATGAAATATATAAAGTGGTTTCAAGATCTGCATTTGGCTATAAATTTTGTATTAAATAATTTTGACCCAATTTGTTTTTCCTTTGCAACGTTTTAAACAAAATTTATATTTAGTATTTTGTATGAAATAAATATATATCTATAATTGTGTAAGTAGAGCTAAGAAACATCTGGAATAATAATAATTCAGGGTACATTATTGTCAAATTTGTCTTCCTAATATGTGTGTCTGATTACAATGTGAACTGTATTTTCATTAATTTGTTTACTACTTTAGTTACTTACACATAACCAACATTAGTTCTAAGTCATTTTATTGTTTTAGGTTGCTGTCTCACCTGAAGCTGTCATTATGAAGAAAGAGAAAATAGAACCTACAGAAGATTTGCAGCAACTTGATTGTGATTCAGCTGTTGAATTTGATGTTAGTAGTTACACTAATAGAAAAGGTACATAATACTATCAGCAGTAATTCTTTATTGAGTCATAATGATTAGAATATATTAATTTAATTACTTATATCTTGTTACATTTTAGTATCATAATAATTAATAGTATTGAATAATTTTAGTCATTTCCTTATATTGTGGCCTGGCATGGCGAGGTGGTTAGGGCGCTCGACTTGCAATCTGTGGATAGCGGGTTCGAATCCCCGTCACATCAAACATGCTCGCCCTTTCAGCCGTGGGGGCGTTATAATGTGATGGTCAGTCCCACTATTCTTTGGTAAAAGAGTAGTCCAAGAGTTGGTGGTGATGACTAACTGCCTTCCCTCTAGTCTTACACTGCTAAGTTAGTGACGGCTAGCTCAGATAGCCCTTGTGTAGCTTTGCGCATAATCCATAACAAACAAACAATCCTTATATCGTTTAGTAAACTTGATTGAAGTCCTTCAGTTACATCTTCTCATAATTCATTCAAACCTATGTGTAAAGGCTGTCTTAAAAGAAATATAAAAATGATATTTATACACAGGTTGTCTCTATATAAAGTGATAAGTTTAAATAAAATCAGTGTGTGGACTTTAAAGCTGACAAATTTGTGATTCATATATCTACATATGTTTATTTATATATATATATAAGAATTAATGATTTATACATTCCTGTCCAGTAGAAAAAAAAATGTATTAACTCCTGACAAAGGAATTCTCAGTTTTTGATTGTTAGAATAGTGTTTCAGCTTGGTACACTTTCCAATTTAAAGCTACCCCTTTTACATCTCTTCTAAACCTCACTAAAGTAAACATGAGTACATGTTAATATACGTTGAGATTGAACAATACAGAAGATATTTGAGTATAATAGATACATGACCTCATTTGTAAGCCCCAGTTGCTTGGAAATTGTATTCAAGAATAAAATAATAAAATAAAATAAGTGTGATCTATTGTTTTTCTCCACAGGATTTTGATAACATAACAATATTTAGGAACAACAAGGGACCTATTCAGGAAAACTAAACTAAAACTACTAAAAAAAAAAATTCAAAGCCAGCCCTTATCATTCATATATTTATCAAATCATCCCTTAAACTTACTTAAATTTACTGCTTTCACCACATCTGAAGGCAACCCATTCCAAAGACCAACAACCTTGTTAGAAAAATAAAACTGGCTTAGCTGAAGATGACTCCTATTTTGCAAAAATTTAAATTTGTATCCCCTAGTCCTACCATTCTCACCATTATGTATGAAGAAAGATGATGTATCAACACCATCAGTTCCCTTAACAATCTTAAACACCTCAATCAGATCCCCTCTAACTTTTCTTGTTTTTTCAAAAGAAAATAATTTCAGAGATCTTAACCTCTCCTCATATGACAACCTTTCCATCCAAGGTATCATGCTATTATCCCTCCCCTGAACCCTTTCCAACAATGAAATTATAACCAACAGAAAATAGTAGCAAGTGGCTACTAGTAGCTCCTTCAACACTCTACTTCATTCTAGCAAGCCAGTCTTTCACCCATTTAAAGTTTGAGATTAGGCAGAGGTTATTTAGGCCCCAAGGCCTCTGATCATTTGCTTCATTGGATGAGACTGATTTACCCTCAAGCACCAGCTATCCTGAGGGAAACTTCGAAGGAAACCAGCTACTAGTTCATTTGATTAGTCTTTTGCCCCTGTACCAAGGACTTGACAATAAGGTTCAGATAGTTAGAAACAATAAATATTGTTAAATAATAATAAAAATATTTAATAAGTATTAAAACACTTTTTAGATTCTAACTAGTAAATCTTTCAATCACATTGCCTAGTCTATTCAAGACCTACTACACAAAGGGGCTGTTGAATGGGTGGTACCCACTCAACTGGAGTTTTACTCCCATGTAATTATTGTCCCTTGACAGATGGGAGATTGGAAATTTGTCATAGACCTGTTCCAGTTGAACTTATCTGTAGCCACTTCACCATAGAGTCCTACCTCTCACTTCAGGAGTTTTTTCTTTGAGACTCTGGTTGACCAAATCGCCATGATGGATGCCTATCTTCATATTCCAGCTGCTCCAGTGTCACATCATTTCCTTCGGTTTGTCCATGAGGGTCATGTCTTCCAGTTCTGGAAACTGCTGTTTGGTTCTTATTCAGCTTCTGTTTGCCTCTTGCTGTGCCCAGTCAGGCAATCACATCTGCTTCCTTTTCAGGAAGCTAATCGGGTAGGGTTTTCTAATCTAATTGGAGAAGTCCATTCTTAACCCCACTCAATATCTTATTCCATTGGGGTATTTTCTTTAATTCCAATTTTTTGTCAATCCCAGTCTTCTCTACTTCGGCTCAGGGATATGGAGCAGGCAGTCTGAATGGCCCTACCCTCTCCTTTTCTCACTGCATGAGGGTTTTCTTTTTTTTTTTGGAAGCTCTCATTCCCTTGGATCAAGCTCATATGCATTCCTTTCAGTCGATGCTTTTTAACTAACGGAACTTCTCCCACAATCCCTTGGACCATTCCATTATCCTTTCCCCTGGGATCAGGGCCGACTTTGCTTGGTGGCTCAAGAGGGAACTGACCACAGTGAGGGTTCCCATTCCTCCACCTTGTCCAGAGTCTCATCTGCTTACCAATGCTTCCTTGGTTTTTTTTTTCTTGATTCCCAAGAGAATTCTTGTTGAAGGCCCTTTGAGGAAGCTACTCTTCGTTTTCAAAATCTTGGAACTTTTAGCAGTTTGTCAGGCTCAGTATCATTTTCTCCCACTCCTGAAAGGGGGCAAGTGGTTATGGTTCATTCAGACCATTCCACTGTCCTCAGCTATATCACCAAGCAAGGGGGGAACCAAATCCAAATCTCTGTATTTTCAGACTCTGGATCTTCTTTACTAGGCCTACAACCACTCCATGGCAATCTTGGTGTGTCACATTCCTGGTTTTAGGAATATAGTGGCCGATCACTTATCTCGACCCAACCAGGTTTTCCCCACAGAGTGGTCCCTTTTTCCACTGGTATTTTGGTGGGTGTGTTCTGAACTGAGAACACCACATGTTGATGTGTTTCCCACTCACTAGAATGCCAAAATTCCTTCCTTTTGTTCTTTAGTTTCACACCCTTAGCTCTGAGAATAGATGCATTTGGTCAGGATTGGAGGAGTCTTCATCCATATACCTATCCTCCAATCAGACTCCTCTTCAGAGTTTTTTCTCTTATCCAGACAATTGTATGTGTAATTCAAAAAGATTAAAGGGTTTTTCAATGATTTTTTCAACAAATTTTCCCCTAAAAAGCATGCATAAAGAGTGTTATGCTTTCATTTATCAATTTAATAGTTTCCCTGATATAGTTTAATTGTTTTGTGACCTGATTATGCAAATATTGTTGAAATTATAACCAAAAAACCTTTAGTAGATACTTGACAAACTAGTCAAGAACTGGATAACTTTGGATGTGTAGTGACAAAAAAAAGTGCAAATATTTTTGTGGAACTCTTGTAAAACAAGGTCTGTGAAATCATGGTAGAAGTTAAGACTTTCATTTAATACCTTTTTTTTTATTTCACAGTTCTGTGATTACAAAACTGACAGATTATTAAAGAATGATGTCTAGAAAAGCATCAATAAGCAGTATAACTATGTGAGAACAATCATACTGCTATGGTACTGTAATATAAACTTCAAAAATCTAGAGTAATTCTTACATCACAAATATTATATACTTGTATTAAAAATTTGTATAGATATATAATAGAACAATATAGGGTTCATATGTAGAAAAGAAACTAACCTAAGTTTTGATTGATAATATGTGTGGAACGTCTTTGTGAAAAGTCATCTGTTTATTCACAGTGTTTCTAAGCTGTTTATGTGTGTTTTGAAAGTGTTTTAGTAAGAGTACACATACTGGGTAACAACTGGTAGAAATGACATACATAAGGTAATTTATACATTAAAGAAACAAGTAAATAGCTGCTATTTCCCAGGGCGTGCCACGATGGTTCTAGAATTATAGTTGTGTGATAAGTTGGCATTTGTCCTGCATATAAAAGCAAACTGTGCTTACCAGGCTTTCAAAATGCCCTCTAAATGGAGCCGAACCAAAGGGTTTAGAGATGGAATTCTTTCGTGTCTCCATGGAAGGAGTAAAGTTTTCACAGTTCAACAGTGTGTTAAGGACAGCTCTGTGGTCTGAAACCACATGTTAAGCCAATTAGAATGAATGCTTTCATCTGCAGAAGTGTGTTTAGGATAACTTTGTGATTCTGAAGCCACACATTAAGCCAATCAGAATTAATGCTTTCATCTGCAGAAGTGTGTTTAGGATAACTTTGTGATTCTGAAGCCACACGTTAAGCCAATTAGAATGAATGCTTTCATCTGCAGAAGTGTGTTTAGGATAACTTTGTGATTCTGAAGCCACACGTTAAGCCAATTAGAATGAATGCTGTCATCTGCAGAAGTGTGTTTAGGATAGCTTTGTGATTCTGAAGCCACACGTTAAGCCAATCAGAATGAATGCTTTCATCTGCAGAAGTGTGTTTAGGATAACTTTGTGATTCTGAAACCACACATTTTGCCAATCAGAATGAATGCTTTCATCTGCAGAAGTGTGTTTAGGATAGTTTTGTGTTTCTGAAACCACACCCAGAAACTTATCATGATGAATTTTGTCATCTGTAGAGTGAAGGCCATGGGTACAAAAGAAAAAACCTTTCAATACACAAATCCACTGCACTTTAGCTGGGCATATCATTTTTTAATAATAACAAGATAATAAACAAGAATTTGAAGCTGGTGATGGTGAACAAGCCTAAATCTTCACAAGCTTCTAGCCACACACTAAACTAAGTAGATATTTTCTTGAGAAAAATCTCTGAGAAAGAATTTAAAGCAGTCCCATTTGACCATGTAATTGTTATCCATACTGTGTGTTTTAATATGTGTTTCAGGCACATTGTACTACTGTATATTAAAACTAAAAAGCAAACATATCTTTTTTTAACACAATGAAATATAAAGTA